AAACGAGAGAGTCAAACCTCCAGGTTAACATCAATGTAGAAACATATGGAAATACTTGATTATAAACACACTTTGTATATATGTTATATGTTATGCTCACGCATGTATGTATATATGTTATATTAATATGTATTGATCTCTGTGTTGTTAAATAACAACCAAAGAGATGTTAATAAACTGGTAAACTGGTAATCAAAACACACTACGCCTCTGGGTAATTAAAACCATGCATTGTTTGGAGAAATGCTCCAAATTACCAGTCCCTGATTTTTCTCCTGACTGTGTTTATAAAACATTAATTAAGCTGGACTAGCTTGTACTGACCATGAAAATTTCATTGTACCAAAGAAAATAGAAGACACACAGGCGTTATATAATTAGCAGATCGAAATGTACATCCTGTCTACTTTTTCAAAAAGTTTGTCAATGCATTTTTTTTTCATAAGGTACTAATCAAAATAGCCTATATGCTTTATTATTAGATATTTTAGGCAGATAGGGGTTAAAGTGCCCAAAAAGTTAAATTGCTTCATGACATCAATAGTTAATCAAAAAGGGGATATTGTACAAGTGTTGTATAACTGACAATTTAAAAGTTTGAATTTTCGATGAATGTAAAGTTGTTGACAGTTTTATATATACAACTACTTGAAATCAAATTGGAATTAATATTTATCATGTTTAGTTTTTGAAGTGGGTGGATACATCTTTATAAAAAAACCAACGTTTTGTATTAATTTCTATGTTTAAAAACCCCCAAAAGTAATGGTAATGGTAATGTATTACTTTAAGAAAATAGAGTAATGGTTATGGTAATTTAATGCCCAAATTGTTGAAGTAATTGTAATGTAATGCATTACTTTACAATGTAATTCGTCCAAGCCTGGTGTGAATCGATATTTTAGGTTGAAATAAAATAAAGAAAATGTTTTTATACACAGAAAGACCAGTGGGGGTACAACATAAACAAACCGGAGTGGCATACCTTTCTCCCTTATAATGTATTGTGGAGTATTGTTTTGTGGAGCGATTATTTTGGGGTTTTGACGATTTTTTTCCATTGTAAAAAATTATGATAAATAAGTGTAATAAAAATAATTTGTGAAAAGATGTCAAGAACGCCCCGGAGTTGAATATGCGGAGGGGGTCCTATCCACAAGTACCTATGGTTACTGACGTTGCAATGAAGTTAATACGTGGTATTTATTTTCACTTCTTCCTCATGTTTCATAAGATCTGTCATGTTCTTTTACATACTTTTGACTGCCATTTTTTTTACAAAACAAAGTATACTTCTTTACATTGATTCAAGTCGTTGTTTTCAATTTTTTTGTAAATTTCAGATGCAGGTGAACTTTGAGTAAGCACCATAGAGAATTAGGACATCATACGTGTGTGGCGTAATGTACTTTGAACAATATTGACGTCTGAGCATTTCTTCATCTAATTTCCTGATAGAAAATGAAGAACACATGGGTTTCCCTCTTTTCTATTGTGACATTCGCTTTAATTAAAGACAAAGAAATCTTTGCATTCAAACATTCGTCTATGTTATCAAACATCTTTCCTGTCACAAAACCAACTGATAAAAAACAGGTAAATTAAAAACGTTAAAGGACGTTAACAATATTATAGCAGGATTAACTAATGATTTTTTTTCGGGCACAATAAAGCCAAAACTCTACCTTCTTCATTATCATTGATAGAAATTAGGTTTCAAAAGAAAATTAAAAATTGTTTTTAAACTCTTTTTATAAAGACACGAGAGGGAGAAGGACTAATAAAAAAGTATTTTAAAATGAAAAAAATAATTTGCAAATAAAAAACAGATTAAACTCATTAGAAGTTTTTGATATCTTATCTTAATCTAAAGACAGATCATACAAACATCCTTTTCATCGAAAATAGTGAAATAACCAAAGAAACGTAAATAAATAAAATAAATAATTGTTACCGCAAAGATTATTTTTATTTCACAATTTGCATATTTATTCAGTGACAGTAAATCACTATTAACAGACGGCCAGGTAAGGAATTTCATCGTACAGAATTCTTTGATATTTATATTTAGAAAAAGATGATGCAGAATTATGAGTAGACAATCTATGTTTATTTTTGATTCCGGTACAGTAATAAAAGGAAATTAAAAGGTACATATATAAAATAAAGCAACAATTTTCTACGCATTTCTCTTGGACATCTGCCGGAATAATAATAGAAATAGTTTCAAAGTAAACTCCTTAATTTGAAAAACACATGGTTACCTTATCTTAGTATATCTTGTGGTTTCTCTCGTAATTAATTGTTGATAATTCCTTTTTTGTCTGCCTATATCTTTTAGTATGAATTATTTACACCTTCTCTTAAGTAATCAAATTTATAATTTTTCTGTCCACAAAATGACGATTCATCGGTTTTGTAACATTTTGCCATTAGTGAGTTTCCTCTTTTTGTGCTTAGTCATCGACATTTAAATCTAGAGATGATTCTCCAAGTAATTGTAATCATAAGTAGTCCTATCCTGTTTCTTGCTACAAGTACAATGTTTGTGAGTGTGAATTGCCATTTCATTGGAAAGTGATTCAACGAAAATATTTTGCATCAGTAAACCCTGACTGTTCTTACTCGGTTTTCACTTGCAAAATTAAGTCTGAACTATTTTCTTCCTCAAGTCTTCCATTAAAAAAATAAATAATCGTAGGGAAAAATGCATATTAAGGTCTACCCATTCATTACACAAAGAATAGTTATTTTAGTTCTAGTAAACACTGAATAACGTATTACTGTAACAACAAAAAATGTTTGCTGTATTTGTATCTCTTTCAGCAATGTCAATACTAGTATTGACATTGCTGAAAAATAAACAGCAAACATTTTTTGTTGTTTTATCTCTTATATATGAGTAATATCTAATTGTCCTCAGCGTTTTTTCTACGAATCACATTTTAATTTTACACAATCTCAATCAAATATAAATCCTTTGTGATAAAATTATGAAAATGAAATCAAATTAATAGCCATTCTCTGTAACCACTTAAACTTCGTTGCCACGCATGGTCACCGATTTTGATGAAACTTCACCCTTGCTTAGTACTTGACACCAGAAACAAATATCAAACAAAATTTCGTTGCTATGTGTCTCGGTTGCTATGGCAACAGCCGGAAAAGTTTGAAAAATCGAGATTTTTCAGCCACTTTAAGTCTTGACTGTGGCTTAATAAAAACTAGAAAAAGCAAACAAAGCATTCTCACAAAAACATGACACCTTGATGTCACTTATACTGTAAAGAAACTGTTTAGAATATATCTCTAAGTAAGTGGTAACCAAGGGTACATTTGGAATACATTTAAAATGCTGAAATGTGCTGAAAAACACTCGTATTCACTAATGGTAGGTGTTACATGCTCAAACTCAATCAACGACTTAAGAAAAACAATGAAAATGTTTACCTTAAGTTTATAAGTATAAGCAATATTATTCTATAAACAACTTTTATGGTTGCCATGGTAACACAGTGTAACCATGCAAAACCAGTAACTAAGTTTGGGTTAATGCTACTGTCTTGAGGAAAAACATGAAAATTCAAGACTGGCAAATATGCATCATTAAGGACCTTGCAACACCAAAACTATAACAAAAATTGGGTATAATTGCTACTTTGTAGTGTTACCATGGAAACAAAGTACCAGTGCTTAAAAGTGAATTATTTTTCGCTGCATTAAGAATTAAATTGCCATTTAATCAAGAAACAAATTAAAGGAGTCAGCTTGAGTAGTACTTGTCTGTTAGAACTGAAGTTGAATATCACATATTGATAAAATTTGATGAATAAAACAACACTGTTGCTATGGTTACCAAGAAGGGAAAATGTCTGATTTTTTTAACTTTATATCAACATTAAACCCTGTTTGCCAGCTTCTTGCATCCACTTAGAGATTGGATGATAGTCAAAATTAAAAGTCAAGTTAGCTGTTAATAAATATCAATCATAAAAGTTTTGGGAATCAACATTTAAGGGTACGTATCCAAGGAAAGAAAATTTTTTTCAGGTTTTTAAGCATATATTTTCTGCTTATTTACATAGCAACGCTCTATGTAAAGAATTTAATCTGAATTTTTTCAAAGGGGAAAACTTGGAGCACACCAACATCTTATGAAATTGGTCATTAGTTATGAGGAAATGTGCTTTTTCTTAAAGATAGGATCAGATTTAAACATACATAGTGTTACTTTGAAGGCTCTCTGTGGTATAAAAACCTTGGCAACCATTGCCAACCAAAATGAAAATCATATTTTGTTCTTTGTATATGTTTCAAGGCTCTTTTTTCTATTATTTGGTCACATTTCATCCTATAATTGCTTTTTATTTTTACGTGTATGACTTTATAAAATTCAATGAATATTTTTTTTACTTTTGAATACTTTGTTACCATAGAACGTATGTAATAGTTGATTTACCGAACATGTTTATCATGCATTTGAGACATCTGACCTTCAACTTTTGGAAACAGTCATTGCCAATTATTTGCTTTCCCGCAAATGTTAACTATGGGGCTCTAAACATGTTAAAAAATGCCATTTTTCGAACTTTAAGACATGTTGCCATGGTAACTATAAAACATAGCAACCAATTTTTGCCTGATTTCAGTTAGGGCATCAATGACTTTTTTTCATAGAGAGTTTGGAGAAATTCTGAGACTATGCGTGCCACAGCTCCTATATAAAATTTCAAATCATTACGAGAATGGCTCTTAAAACTTTCACAAAATGAAGTGTTCGCACTACTTGTACAACATTACATAATTTAAGCTTCCTTGATGATTTTTTTTCCATCCATATAAACATCTTTTACGGTTAAGTTACAGATTATAGTAATATCTGTAGCTTCTGAGTTTATACTCTTAAAACACAGAGAAGTTACGGAATTTTCTTACTATGAATAACAGTAAGAAAATCTTATATGGTTTTCCGTCTGACCATATTAATAGCCGTTTTGCAAATGGTTGTGGGGAAGACTGTTTCTTGTCGGTTTAGTAGTCTTGAGTGTGATTGTTTTTCATACGAGAATGGAATTCGTGTGGATTGTTCACAACGGAATCTTACTGCAATACCAGTTATGAATGACAGCATCACTTGGTTAGACCTCAGTAAAAACAAGATCAGGACTATCGAGTCAAAGAGTATAAAAACTTCAGAAAAGATTATATCTCTCGACCTATCTGATAATAACTTTACGACTGTTGATGGAAATCCGTTCGAACATTTAGCAATACTTCGGTTTTTGAACCTAGAGGGAAATCAGTTAAAATATTCAAATTTCGATAAACTTTTTAAAGGACTGTCGGCGTTAGAAGTACTGAATATAAAAGGAAATAATGGCAATCCATATAACAAAGACTTTCCTGGAGATGTTTTTGCAAATCTATGTTTTCTGTCAATGATAAAAATGAATGGGATAGCAAGTACAAAGTTTGGAAACAGTTTTTTGCGTTTAAAGTATCTTAAAGTTTTAGATATGTCGGGGTTTGAAAGCAATTGTTTTCTCCATCATATTGATTCAAAAATGTTCTCCAAATTTCAATTCCTTGAGGTTTTGGATGTTTCCTACTGCAACGTAAAAGATGTTGATAAAGGATCATTTAGCAATATGCCAAAATTACAGTATCTTAATATTTCATATAATCGTGAGCTAGGTTTTGCATCTATGCCAAATGTGACTTATAATTTGAACAAAACTAGGATAAAATCTTTGAATATTATGGAATTAATTGTGTAGCCGGGGTTGGAAAAGAACTGAAATGTCATCATCTCCTTTCTCTTAAAGGAACCAACCTTACAGAATTATATGCAGCCAGTAACCGATTAGAAATCATAGAACCAGGAGTCCTACCCAATCTTCCAAAAACTCTAGAGATATTCTCGTTGGCCGAAAACAAATTAACGTCTGGGCTCTATATACTATATTTTGATTCGCTGGAAAACTTGCGAGTATACAACTCTAGCTTTCAGAAGCATCCACCAAGGGCGTCCTTTGATGGTATTGTGGAATGATTGTAAAGAAGAGAGAATCTTTAATGATGTTGTTTCCCATTGCCAAGAAGTTGCAAATCACCAAACTCCTAAAGACATCTAACTGGACGTTGGAAAAACTTTACTGTTATTTTCCAAAAAATCTGGAAGAAATATATGCGTACTCTAGTAGACTTTATTTTAAGATTAATAAAAAGTTTATCTCTGCACCGAGTCTCGAATTGTAAACTTACAAATAACATTTTCGTGTACTATTTGGAAGGTCCTGTTCACATTTTCAACATCAAATAACCAAAATAACATTGGATATTTCCAACAATTTTATGCTCCACATTTCCCCATACATAATTAATGATGGTGCACAACTTCAAACTTTAAATATATCCCACAATGACATTGGCAAAGATCTGGAGAGAGATGTATGGGCAAAACGTTTGAAACTTTTTTATCCCTGGAGAACTTAGACATGTCATTCTGCAGAATTTCCAAACTTCCAAACTGGTGCTGAAGAATTCTTCGAGGCTTAAAATATTTAATGTTAGTAACAACCAAATATCAAGATGGAATTTAAAAATTGATCATATGACAAAAATATCTTTGATGGACCTCTCAATAATCGGATAAGATCAATTGATGAAAAAACGCGCGTACATTTGGAGAATGCCTTTCAAAGATCAAATTTAATCGTAGATCTTTCCGGCAATTTTTAGGCTGTTCCTGTGATAATGAACAATTTCTTAATTGGTTGGGGATAAACAAAGCTAATTTCTGTAAATATTCAGCAATATCAGTGCTCATCAGAAAAACTATTAATTTTCATTTGAAAATCTGGACAGTCCTATTTCTATTAGAGAAGAACTGTAGATCATTTTTGACTTTGTATATAGCAGGCTCTGTTTCACTTGCTGTATGCATAAGCTTGTTAACAGGAATTTTGTTGTTAAAAACAGGTGGAAGATTCGCTATATTGTTTACAAAACTAAACTGAAATTCCGATCCAGAGACAAATTAAATGTTTAAAATTCTACTGATTTAAACTATGAATATGATGTTTTTCTATCTTATGCTGGAATGGAAAGAACATTTGTACTGAAGGAAGTCATACCTCGGCTTGAAACCAATGCTGGATTACGCTTCTTGTAAGAGACAGGGATTATCTCCCAGGGTTTTCAAAAGTGGGACTCTATTATGACTGGAATTCATGAAAGTAAAAAGGTTCTTTGTATTGTTTCCAAAAGATATTTAAAATCAAAATGGCGTGACTATGAGCTAAACATGGCAAAAGTGGAGGAAATCAAGGATCGTGAAACACAGATTTTGTTATTTTGATTTTGTTACCGGAAGTGTACAACAGTGGATATCCCAGTAAAGTGATGAGTCTTGTGAAGAAGGACTGTTTTATTGAATATCCCGAAGAATCCTGTGCTTTTGATGACTTTTGGGAGAAACTGATCAAAATGTTAAAGAATGATTAATTTAAAAAAAAAAACTTGTGTATGGAATATATTATTTCAAAACACATTTTATTGCCATCACAACAAAAGATCCCTATGGCAATTTTTGTAGAACAGAGTGATAACGTCATAACATAATTTACGTTTTTACAAGTCCAGCTTTTATATTGGTTCTTGAACATTGTAATTTTATTTCATTTATTTATACTTAATTCTGACTTTTCAAGTTGACTCTTCTAGTCCACTGTTAATTTAAATGTAGACCTATTTAGAATTTGAGACCCCGTTTCATTGCTACATCTAGCTATTTCCCTATATATACGTCTCTAATTGATTTATTTCCAACATGTAATGTTAATCGAAGCATAGACATTTTAGTGTTTTTTTTAAATATCGAATGCGATGAATAAATGTAATTTTGATATACTAATACGAGACAACGTGAAAGTTAGGTGTAAGACACGAGGGTTTTATCAAAATGTTGGAAAGGAAATCGTTTTTCTGTATGAGATCCGCTCCAGCATCTAACATTTACATCAATCACGTAAACATTGAAACATCGGTGCATCTTCCATAATGTTTTGTTCCGAAATGCTTTAATGCTAAAAAATGAATCTTGAAACATCTCTTCCAATAGAGAAGAAAAAGAATTCTTAAAAGTTTCCCAAATCTGGCAAAATAATGAACAAATGACAGAGGTGAAATTATTTTCAGAACTATAAATAAAAATAGGACAGGTACCTCTAACAATCGAAAAACTAAAGGGGTACCAGAGAGGGACATGAGGTCTTCCGTCCGATTCTGGAAAAAAAACACGTAAAGTCGAGCTGAGAAGTGATTAAAAATGTTGGTCACAAATTGAATCCAGGTCGCCAGCGTGAAAATCCAATCCGCTTTTTCCCCTTTTATCCCCAAAGCGCTAACCATTACCCTATTGGAAGTACTGCTCTAAATGTACTTGTGTATACTTTTGCTACAGTACACCTGTCTAAGAATTATAAAAGACAGGCCATTATTCATAATTTCGCGCCAAACGCCACGTTAAATCTTCGTAAATCTATTAAATAGGTGTGATAGCGCGCCTACATTTCTTTAGAAAATATATTTAACACATTGTACACATTCTATAGAAAAGTAACACAAAAGCAGTGAAATGACTATAATTTTAATTTTTTTTTATTTCCCGTCTCAGAAGTGTATGTGATTAGTTATACTTTCATAAAAAGGTTGAAATTTTCGCCGAAAAACATGCCTCGCTCTACGACAGTCAAGGAATCAGATACCATTTATGTTCAATATTGCAGATCTTTGAGAAAAGAATGTTAATATAAACTCCATTATTTTATTAAAAAATGGTTTTCGTCTTTTCTACGTTAATATCACACAAGTGTGCATTGGAAAAACAGTGGTTATACGTTTTATACTTACTATATACATGCATCGATATTGTTTCTTGAAAAACTATAACACTATGATTGTACAAAACAAATGATAATATTCTCTCACACATTTAGTCTTTTCTTTTTCTACTTTGAGAACCAATTAAACTAAAGCAGTTTTTCTACATGATTATTAACGCGCAAACCATTAAGTTTGCTCTATATACTTGTGTATATGGTACACGTTATTACAACGTACTATTGATAATTTCGCGCCAAAGTCCATAAATATTCTATTAAATAGGCATAAAATAAATAAATAAAACGTTCATTATCGCCTTTATTTTATTTCGACGTTAAGAAGGTATATTTAACACATTGTACACATTACATATCGTATCTAGCCCAGTTAAACTAAAGCAGTAAAACGGAAATTAAGTTTTAAGATTGACACGTAATAACAACGTACTATTACGTGAAAGTCCAAGTAGTTTTTTGCATTTCATGTATCCTTATGTCAGAATGGTTTAATCAAACGCTCAGCTGCCTCCATAAACCCCTACTCGCGAAATGGCGGAGTTGACAGAGGCAGACGCCATCTTGGACCCGCTTCAGATTTTCAAATATTAATATCTAGAGTTCAGATTAACCAATATTCAAACAACTTATATAGTAAGGATCAATAGAAGGGTCTGTATTAATATTCCAAAAATAAATAAAAAATATTGAAAAACAAAAAAGTTAGAAAATACGATTTTTTCAATTCGCTTCTCCTAACGACAGGAAGTACTGACGACGAAGGAAAGGTCGCGTCCTGGATAGTATATATCACAATTATAATCCCTGAAAGTTTCACATTTATATCTTCTACCGTTCTTGAGATTAACCGTAGACAAAATGTCATTTAAAATTCAGAAAATGTCCCGTAACTTGGCACCAGATGGGAATTTTCAAAAAATCTCTCGGAAAAAATAACTTCAGATAATAACACATTAATTCTGTAAATTTCATGAAAATCCACCAAGTAGTCTTTGAGAAATCGCGTGCACAAAATTCAGTGTACGGAAAAATAATAATAATAATAATAATAATAATAATAACTAGATACGATCTCGTTGCGAGCAACGAGAGGTCTTCCGTCCGATTCAGATAAAAAAAACTTGTAAAATCGAACAAAAAAGTGATTCAAACTTTTGATCACAAGAAGGAGTGAATCCAGGTCGCCAACGTGAATGCACCTTTTGTTTCTCTTTCTCCCCAACGCGCGAACCATTTAGCTATTGGGAATACTGCTTTAAATATACTTGCTTTTGCAACAGTACATTTGTCTAAGAATTAAAAGGCGGACACTATTCATAATTTCGCTTAAACGCACTTTTTCTTTTCTTTGTATTCATCTATTAAAGAGGTGCAATAGCTTCAATGAAATTAATTAAATAAAACATTCTTATCACCTTTATTTTATTTCGGCGTTAGGAAAGTATATTTAACGCATTGTACACATTACATATCGTATCTAGCCCAGTAACACTAAAGCAGTGAAACGTAAATTAAGTTTTTTAAGATTGACACTGAATTGCAACGTACTACTACGTGAGAGTCCAAGTAGCTTTTTGCATTTCATGTATCCTTATGTCAGAATGGTTTAATCAAACGCTCAGCTGCCTCCATAAGCCCCTACTCGCGAAATGTCGGAGTTGACAGAGACAGCCGCCATCTTGGGCCCGCTTCAGATTTTCAAATATTAATATCTAGAGTTCAGATTAACCAATATTAAAACAACTTATATAGTAAGCATCAATAGAAGTGTCTCTATTAATATTCCAAAAATAAATGAAAAATATTGAAAAACAAAGAAAGTTGAAAATTTGGACTTTTTGAATTGGCTTCCGGTAGCGACAGGAAGTACTGACGACGAACGAAAAGTTGCGTCCTGGAAAGTATTGATCATCATCTATAAACTCTGAAAGTTTCACATTGATATCTTTTACCGTTTTTTGAGTTTAATCGTGGACAAAAAGTCATTTTAAAATCAGGAAAATGGTCCAAAACTTGGCACCAGAGAGGAATTTCCAAAAACTGTCTTGGAACTTTCAAGAGTAACTTACAACACATCTTTCCTGAAAATTTCATGTAATTCTATCCAGTAGTTGTCGAGAAATCGTGTCAGAAAAATAATAATAATAAT